ATATGCCTGTATCTGGTAACAAACAGTTATTTGCATAATCCAGGACACTTTTGTTTCTCTTGAAATGATTTGGCATTTTAAGCATTTTTCTATCAAGGACTTTTAGGATCAACTCTTCATCTACAGAGCACCATAAACATGCCAAATAAGCCAAAGGTCTTTAAAACTGTTGACAGTTTAATTCAAGTTAAAGTTATACTTTGCCAGAAAAGTATTTACATAATGACATGGTAAAAGTATTATTAAATTCCTCTGCAGGATTTTGTAAATACTTTAGCTCTTCCTGTTAGAGTGTTGAAAAAGCTTTTTTTTCAACACTTTTTTCAACATGCTGGTGGACACCAGCAGTGAGGGAAGCTGTCAAGCTGAAGAAGGAGTCTTATCAGGCTTTATCGACCTGTGGGACTCAAGAAACAGATATGTATCGGCAGTCAAAGCGGCAGGTGGCTAGGCTGGTCGCTGAGGCAAAAACTTCGGCGTGGGAAGAGTTTGGAGAGGCCATGCGAATGGCTTTGAAGCGATTCTGGTCCACAATCCGGCGTCTCAGGAGGGGGAAGCAATGCAGTACCAACACTATTTATAGTGGGGGTGGTGTGCTGCTGACCTCGACTCGGGACGTTGTATGTCAGTGGGCGGAGTACTTCAATGACCTCCTTAATCCCACCAACACATCTTCCATTGAGGAAGCAGAGCCTGGGGACTCTGGCTTTGGTCCTCCCATCTCTGGTCCTGAAGTCACCTAGGTGGTTAAAAAGCTTCTCGGTGGCAAGGCCCCAGGGGTGGATGAGATTCGTCCTGAGTACCTTAAGGCTCTGGATGTTGTGGGGCTGTGTTGGTTAACGCGGCTCTGCAACATTGCGTGGACATCAGGGGCAGTTCCCCTGGATTGGCAGACTGGGGTGGTGGTCGGTCTATTTAAAAAAGGGGACCGGTGGGTATGTTCCAACTACAGAGGAATCACACTCTTCCGCCCCCCTGGTAAGGTCTATTCCAGGGTATTGGAAAGGAGGGTCCGTCGGATAGTCGAATCTCAGATTGAGGAGGAGCAATGTGGTTTTCACCCTAGCCGCAGAACACTGGATCAGCTCTCTCAGCAAAATTCTGGAGGGTGCATGGGAGTTTGCCCAACCAGTCTACATGTTTTTTTGTGGATCTGGAGAAGGCATTCGACTGTGTCCCTGGGGGAGTCCTGTGGGGGGTACTCCGGGAGTAACAGCCCTCTAATAGGGCCTGTTAGGTCTCTGTATAACCTGTGTTAGAGCCTGGTCCGTATTGCCGGCAGTAAGTCGGACTCGTTTCCGGTGAGGGTTGGACCCCTCCCTTTGTCACTGATTCTGTTAATAACTTTTACAGACAGAATTTCTAGGTGCACCCAAGGTGTTGAGGGGATCTGTCTTGGTGGCCTTAGTATTGCATCTCTGTTATTCACAGATGATGTGGTCCTGTTGGCTTCATCAGGGCGGGATCTACAGCTCTCACTGGAGCAAGTGTGAAGCAGCCGGGATGAGGATCAGTGCCTTCAAATCCGAGACCACAGTCTTGTGCCGGAAAAGGGTAGAGTGCCATCTCCGGGGTGGGGAGGATGTACAGTGGAGGAGTTTAAGTATCTTTGGGTCTTGTTCACGAATGAGGGGAAGATGGAGTGGGAGATCGATAGGCGGATTGGTGCAGCGTCAGCTGTGAAGCGGGCCATGTACCGGTCTGTTGTGGTGAAGAGAGAGCTGAGCCAAAAAGCAAAGCTCTCGATTTACCGGTCGACCTACGTTCCTACCCTCATCTATGGTCATGAGCTTTGGGTCATGACCAAAAGAATGAGATCCCGGATACAAGCGGCTGAAATGAGTTTTCTACATAGTGTGTCTGGGCTCTCCCTTAGAGATAGGGTGAGGACCTCAGTCATCTGGGGAGGACTCATAATAGAGCCCTGTTCCTCCACATCTAGAGGATCCATTTGAGTTGGCTTGGGTATCTGGTTAGGATGCCTCCTGGACGTCTCCCTGGTGAGGTGTTCCAGGCATGCCCACCGGGAGAAGGCCCAGGGGGAGACCCAGGACACTCTGGAGGGACTATGTTTCTCGACTGGCCTGGGAGCGCCTTGGGATTCCCCCTGAGGAGCTGGCCCAAGAGGCTGCTGGGGAGAGGGACGTCTGGGCCTCCCTACTGAAGCTGCTACCCCCGCGACCCGAACCCCGGATAAGCGGAAGTAGATGGATGGATAGATGGATGTATGGATGTTTGAATATGAGTGTTTTGGGGGCATTTCATTATAGATACAGTTCCCTGACACAAATAAAGTGCCAGTCAGAAGTTCACATTAACTCATTAAGATCATGACTTTCCTGTAAACTTTAATGTGAGAACAAGAAACAAAAAAGGATAATATTTTCAATAGACTATAGATTATCTTTATTTCATCAGGGTCAAAATTATGCATACAGATACAAATAAAATCTCTGGCTGCTCTACCTACTGCCAGAAAATGTACTAAATAAAGAATGATCAAATTGTAGACATATGATGGACAAGTATGCCGACATGTCATGATTGTAGCACTGATGCCTGGTCTGATTACTCATTTGACACACTTGCTTAGCTCCGCCTAGTTCTCTTTACCCACTCATCTGATCAACCTGAATTAGTCACTTTGTAATGAACCTTGAGATAAGATTCAGATTATTTTGAGCCTTTGGTGAGAATTATTCTAATGTTCATGTGCCATCCGGGCTCTGACAACTAAACATGTCACCTACATATGACTTGGCTTTGTTGTCTGGATCGTGTGCTCGGTTCTGATCGTTCAACCTCCGATACATCAGCGTCTGAGACTTTCTGTGCAGCCACCAACACGTTGGCAGCCAGACGGCTGGAACCATCCTTTATCTCTGCATTCGGACTGAACTACAAGACCAGATTAATAGCTTGCACGTTCGTGATCATTTACTTCCGGAAAGACGTGGTCTGTTTGTGCACCTTGAATACTGGACCCTTCAGTTCTGAGTTTGACACTACATCAAATAAGATGTTGTAATTAAAAACTTTCTCAGTACATGAGTAATATTTAAACTTGATTGTTTTACTCTAAATGAATTTCTTGCAAGACTATTTATTTTATTTTTACTTGTGTACTATTGAACTAATACTACCCTTACTTGAGTATAGTTTTCTTCTACTCCCCCTGCTGTTATTTTATATCTACCCCCTAAAAAAGACATATAGGTAATCAAATTCTCTATACAGTAGAGAAACACAAGAATGAAATTGAACAAAGGACTAAAATATCACCTCCAATGACATGTTATTATATAGGGTTAACCGAAAATTAAAATTCAATGTGTATAATAATATTAACGTAAAGCCTCATGTCCAGTGAAATGACACATAAAAAGCAAAACAACCCATTTTTGCTGTTGTTGAAAACTCTGACAATTCTGAAGGAAATATAATGGCCGATTAAGTATTTCTTACTTATGATACAATAAACATTTATTTGAACAGACTTACATTCCCTCACATCTTCCAAGCACCATTGCATCGCTGGTTCAGAACCGTGGACAGCGCCTTTAGTCTGAGAATTTGCAGTAATGTGTTGCTTTTCCATCATTGAAGTTTATAGGCTGAATTGTTTTTTTTTTAGAATATTGCTGCTCATGGAGATACCAACAAAAATAATGCAACCAATACTAGCTACCCTTGAATTATATACATTAAACAAAGCCTTAATCTTTCCGCATAGCCATCGAACCGATCATTATTTGTCATAGTGTCTCCTATTGTTGCAAATTGTTTCTCGGTATGAATGTAAATAAAAAGAAAAAAAAATCTATTGGAAAGCATTTTAAATGTGTCTTTCACTATTTTACATGTACAGTCAAGTGCAAAGTTTACAATCACTTCTATTATGCAAAGTTTGCATTTAAAGTCCAAACTAATTTGAACGTGTGAACTAAGTAAGCCCCAGGACAGGTTGTACATGAATCAAATGTTGTGCCCTTAGATTGCCTTAAGTAAAATCGTAGGTCAAATGTTATTTATACCCAAGGTTATGAACTGCTGACTAAATGGGACTTTTCAAGGAACAGCTGCTTTAGGATATAAGTTTTGAAAACCCGAAAACCACAAACCCATGTGTAGTATTTATTTAAAGAGCACAATCAATGAATGTAATGCAGCAATATGTTCTAACATGTTTTGGTCAGATAAGACTACAGCTGATCATTTTGGCATCTATTTCTGGTTAAAGAAAAAAAAAAGATTTTCTTTATCTAAAAGTGGAGAAATGTACTTGTTACAACTACGCAAATAATCAAAAAGAGAAGGTGCCAAAGGAAGAAAAAGATGTGGGGCTATATACAGTATACACTTTGATGAATGGTGATGTTTGTCAGGCCAATATCTGTAGAGAATTGTCAGAATAAAAAATGTTGTTAACATTTCTCAGTTGATTGTATTGATTGTTGATGTATTTCAGGATATCTGAAAAGAAAAAAATAGAACACAAATAGAGACCGGTTTTTAGAATTTGTGATTGAAAATACAAGAAAAAAAAACCCAAAACGAACAAAAACCTATCAAGCAACAAACAGAAAACGAATATTTCCTATTTCCTTTACAATTATGTAGCGCTTGTGTGGCTCTCATAAAGGGATAACATAGTTATTATGTATGGAAAACTCCCAAAACGGGAAAAAAGTTTATGGGAAACAAAATACTAGTGTTTAAAGGTTATGCGCATTAAAAAGACGGCTCAGTTTCCTTTCCTTTCTCTTCTTTGTGGAATCATTTAAACCCACCCTTCTCACGCTTGGCCCCCTCTCTCCCCCACCCCTCCATCCCTCTCCTGCTATCTGAACAGAGAGCCCTCAGCTCTCTTTTGTTCAGTAGCGCTCAGCTGCTGGAGAGTTGAGCTCTGCTCCGACTGACGGTCATCTTCTCTCGTCGCGGCTCCTCCTTTCCAGAGGACGCGCGGACTTGGCTGGAGCTCCAGGCGCATTTCCACTCCAGGCGCATTTCCACTCACATAAACGTCCTTTTATCGGCCTTTCTGCCAAAGTGGTGACCAGAACTGGCTCTTTTGGGTCCAACGAAGCGGACTCGGAGGCTTTAAAAAAGAATAATTACGCATCGTTGGATGGTTTAGCAGGTTGACTCTGTACCGCAACCACCTGCACTCTATCAAGGCGACAAAAGCTGCAGCATCACTCTACATTCCCAGCGGACTGAGCCCGACTCTACAAAGGTGAGGGCAAGTTTTTTTCATTTGTTTTTCGTTTTTTATGCTGTTTTTGGTTGCAGACTGCACGAGAAAAATGCAAGAGTATATTTTGCAGAGTTCATTCTGCTCCACTGAGATAAATTGGAAATTACTTGCAAAAAGCAAAACAGTTTTACTGGGATTACTTTTATGAGTTGGATATTAAGCAATTGCACTTTTCAGTTTTTGAAGGTTTCTTTTCACTACTAGCAAGACTCCCTGCTTTAAAGAGGCATTGGAAGCTTAGACACTGAGAAGCTGCTATTATGATGTAGGATTTTATAAGCTTGCATTTTATTTCAATAAAAATCTATGCTGAAAGTCGTTTCTCTCTAGTATTTTTTAACTAGAAATTTAAAAACATCAACTTTGCACAGGATTTGGATCAACCAACATCCCACCTTTTGTAGAAAAACCTACTTTCTATTCTAGAGCTTCAAACATACTCTGATTGGAGAAGAGTCTGTTAGCAGTAAAGGTGCCATAATCCGAACTGATTGCAAAACAAAAGGGTTAACCAAGGCTGAGACTGAGTCTTGGAATGCGCTTCAGCCAAACAGGTCCATGAAGGAATTTTTTCAGAAGAAACTTTATAGCAGCAAGAGGCTGCAGAATATCAAAGAGCAAGAGGTCTGAGCAGCGATATTCTGCAGCTGCAGGGCTTCCGCTTCAATGCTATTCAGTAAAAGATGTTGCTGGGGATGAAAAGAAAGGAAACTGTGTTGCTTTGTGCAACCACCCTGTTTTAATTTTATCCACTGCAGGGCAGCATTTCAGATTTTGGATGGCAGAGTATGGGGAAATAGAGCAGAGTTTTTCATGACCCCATGGGAAATTAAGCAGTGATCCATTCAGACAGTTTGTGGAACGGTTTCTAGCCCTGCTTTTTTTCTCTAGCTTGCTGCGTGATGAAAGTATTTGAACACACAGGGATGCACACGCAAAGTCATCCAGGCAGCCTTTGCTGGAGTTTGGGAGGTGCTGTCCATGGTTAAAATTGATCTAGAATTAATTTTCTTTGATAATCTGTGAGCCATTAGCAATGCCAACAACTTCTATTTTGCCTGGGCTTGTTATACTTGTGCTTGGCTTTAATGTAGGCAGAGGGCTCCTTAAAGGCGGTTTAGAACTACAAACCTACTCTTCTTAACAGGTCAGTCTGTTTTTTGGGACCTTTATATATATGATACATCCAAGCTGCTGCTAGTTACTCATTAGTTTGAGTATATTTTGCTTCTTTTGCATGGATAGTGAAGCATAGCTCTATATAGAACTATATTTGTATGAATCTGCCTCCATTTAAGACTATCCTCCCCTTGTGCTATCATGCAAGGCTCAGATCATCTTTTGTGTTATCCCTCTTGTCCCCTTCTTTCTTTCATAATCTTGATGTTTTTGGACTACCGGTTATCACTCTTGCAGCATGGCTCAACAGAATGAAAAGGTGATCTTTTCTTCTACCTTTGCCAGTTTGCTGCCTCTATTTTAATATTTTGTGGGAGATGAAGCGTTGCAATGGATGAATAGTATTGCTTCAGAGAGAGAGGCTCTCAGTGGCTCCGGTCCAAATGTGGTCCAGGCCAAAAACGTCTCTAAAACGTTGTCATTACATCTCAGGAACAATGGAATGGGAGAAAAACGGGGAAACAAAAGGAGCTTGGCAGCTTGACGGGATTATCTGTGTCTTGCATAAGGTTGTGTTTGCCACATATTCCAATAATGTGTCTTTTCCGGCTGGCTGCACTTGGCTTAGTGCAGACACTTGTAGCTCAAGCTATAATTTGCAAAAGATTCTCTCGTACACTTGAGTTGCGTCCAAACAAATTGGTAAACTGGGTTTTTTTCAGCATGTTTTGCTGATGTAAGACATTAATATCCCAACAATGAACCTCCTGCTATACTTAGATCAAACAAAACTCACCCTAGCATGGCGACTGATAAAAAAGGATAGAGTGCAACTTAGCAGTATTTGGAAAGAAAGTCTTTGAGTTTATTCTAGCTGCTGAATTGGAAAACCAAGTTAAAATCCCATCAAATTCACCTTTCTTTATAGTTATCTCTACTTTTGATCTAGTTCCAATTACTTAATCAATTTTATAAAAAAGCAAACAAACAGAACAAGCATGTTTAAAATTAAAATGCGAAAGTGTCTATGATTAATGAGATATCCAAGTTTACGATGCACTCCTTCAAGAAGCCTGCTTTATGTATAGACATGTGTATCTGCCCAATATGGCCTACGATGACTCTAATGCATATGACCACATGCAGCCCAGAGTTTTGCACCCAACAGCCACTGATATCTGGTTTATTGCACTCCAATATTGTCCTCCAAATCTGGCCTCATGTTATGGTAGCAAAGACCCTTTTGTGTGGATTAGTGCTTTTTTTGCCAGACTTGCAGATTCTCATGATACCAATGGGAATAAAATAAAAAAAATCGCTGGAGAAAATCAATCAAGTCCAGCTTAAAATTAATTCTGTTGTGCTGTGGTGCTATGAGTCTGCTGTGATCATTCAGTGGTAACAGCTGAAAATGTGAAATCCATCACTTTAATAGTAAAGGAAAAAAAACATTTGACTCATAATGCAAAGTTCAGGGATGAATTGAAATAGCTGGGAGTTGGTGCAGACTACAAATGGAGTTTTAAAAAACAGGACCTGAACATGAACCCCTTAGAAATGGAGAGGAAGTCTTGGATGACCTAACCTGGTCAAGAAACCTATTTGGATTTCTAATGGGCCCAGCAAAGACTGGGAAACTGTTATAAACATCAGCTCCTACCAGCTTGTCCTCCAGGCCCTCCAGAGAAAACCAAAGGAAGCTGTGAGGGTCTTTGGAAATCCATAAAAGTAAAAGTAGCCTTTAGGACTAAAACCTGTCTCATTCTGTTGTATGTGTTAGTTCTACTATTAACTGGCAGGTCCTGGATTTCATCCAACCATCAAGTTTCATTTAATTGTGTGTTTTTCACTGCTTGTTTGTATGGAATCACCTCATGATGTACAGACAGAATGATTTGGGTTTTTATACCGCGGTGACAGAGGAGAGGGGATGCCAGAAGATTCCTGCAAAGAAGGACTCCTTTCCAGACTTAGATAACCCTTATCCAATTAGGCAGTGAAAGCCCACGCAACAGCCCTCATGCACTCTATTCAGTCCTGCTTCTATAAACAATCATGACATTACATGCTTTGAGTTGCCAGCCAAGGCGACGTAGGTTTGGTGAGCGTAGCTCACCAGTGAAGCTGTGATTCATATACAAGTTTGTATCACTACATTGATGAGGTCTGCACCTGTCCTTGCAGGAATATGTTGCTTCTATGAGTGACAGCTTTCGGTCCTTTCGAACCTTGGCAGCACTGAGTGGAAGGAGCCAAATTGGAGAGGGCTGCTTCTATTTTTGTTTTGGCTAAGAATAAAATAGCCGGGCAAGGCAATTTCAACCAACTGCTGCACATACAGCCAAGCAAATGATCAGCGCAGCTGAGACCTCATTGGTTAGCGGCTGAGCACACAAAGCAAAGGAGATGCAGAGGCAGGAAAAAAATGTAGCTTAACACAATCCCTACAGACCCTTCTCGTTAATATTCATTAATCACCCACCTCCAATTCGCCCCAAGGCCCCCGCTCTGCACCCCTCTCCCACTCAATGTATTATTCAAAGGTAGCATTTCCCTATTAAATACTATTAATAAATAATTACATCTGGTAACAGTTTTGTCTGCTGAATTAATAACAGCTGAGTATATTTTGCAGCGATTGGTAGAGTTGTTGAGGTGCTGATCTCCTCCCTCCTCTCTCTTTGTCTCGCCTCTTTTGTTAATGTCAGCTGGCCTGTCAGTTGATCAGAATGGAACTCCGTCTGTCTCTCTATCAGTCACCTTCTGCAGCGCGCAAGAGGAGGAGCAAATATGCCGAGGCTGTTTATTTTACCATTATCTCTGTTTTCCTGGCTGAGATAATATAGAAAACACAAAGCCCCCTCTGGCCTCGTTCTCTGGTGTCATTGGCTGACTTGAAGTCCATCTTATTCCTTTTCTTTCATTTTAAAATTAGTTTGTTGAGTCAAAATATTCTGAAAAGAACACAGACGTATGGTTCTGCATTGCTTAAGCATACTGACAATGAAAGCATCACTGTGCACAGGATGCAGCTTTCAGACTCTGATGAGCTGGTAAACACAACGTGTTTGAGAGGCCCACAGATGGCTGCTGTTTTCCTGTCTTGTCTGCTCAAATTCCCAAAGGAAAGGCTTACTTTTTTATTCTCCACCAGTCTTGCTTCAGTCTTAATTTTTAGAGATACAAGTGGATCATCCAGGTCTCATTGCACAATTTCAGGCAGGAAAATCACAGCTGAAGTTAAAAAAAAAAAGATAAATCTATTGTTCCTGGGAGTGATTTCTGTTTGTCTACCTCCACCTCAGTCTCTCTGAGTGAATACCACACACCAGCTCTATTTATAAAGTCAAGGCAGCCGTGAGATACTTATAAAGTCCCCCTCACTAATCAGAGATGTCGCTCTGGGGTTTTGAAACCAATCAAAGGGAAAAGTGGGGGAGAATAGGAAAGTTGTGTTATTTGTTTCCTTCAGAAAGCTGTCACAGGTTAGGCTCTGTCTCTGGTGTATCTCCATTGGGCTGTCCTTTTTTTTTGCATTATTTGAAATGTGCATTTAGCTTTTTGCAGTTTTTAACTCTTACCTTAATATCTCAGTTGGTATTTCGCTGGACTTTAAAGTTGTAGGAAAATCATATTTAAATGTCAAATCATTCTGACTTGAACATGTATATAAATGTACTCTTTATCGACAATATTGTCTGAAAAGTTAGAAAATTTCTATTAAAAAAATTCTGTCTTAAAATCTGTGTTTGTTTTTTTCTTTATCTTATGCAGGTCGGTTAGTTATATGTCAGCTTGTACACCTAAAGTCGGCCAATCTTATATCAACAGTCATCTGTCAATCAATTTCTTTTGGTCAC